AGTCACGGCAGGAATCCTGGACGCCTCACTTGTAACGCAAACTGTGAGGCCAACCCTATAACTGGATAGGTATTTTATATGGTATGGGAAGTTCATGGAGAGCGGCGGCGCATCGCCAAATACATTATTTCCTGGTCGCACCCCTCTTTCGTTTACCTCTCTTCCTCCCACAGAAAATTATCCCAAACACTCCTTCTGCCACTCCTTTCAATGAAACGATACAATTTTCAAAAAAAACAATTACAACTACTTTATTTCTTCTTTCAATCAGCTCAGAAGTAGTAGTCTCACTGTGTTTGACCAGAAATAAATTTCTGCTATAACAAGTCGTATATTTTTTTTCTTTAGATCATCTCAAATATAAGAAAAAAATAAAATGTATTAAATCTTTTTTTAAAAAATTGTCCAAAAAGTCGTTTTTGAATGTAATTTTTAAAAACAAAATTTTTTCTCTGTCATAGTGGTTTTTAAATAAAGAGTTAAAAGTATCAAAAACGTGTTTCCGATATTTGTAGGGGAAAGGCTTGCAGGTTGCCCCACCTAAGGTTTTTTGCTTATAACTCATTAAAAAAATTAATTTATGTGAACTTACCATCGAAAAAGGGCCTAAAAAGCTACAAATTTGATCCATAGATATAATTTAAATTGACAAAGAATAAAATTTTTACATCAAATTTTAAAAATGATTTAAAATTAACGTTTCGAAGGTAATTTAAATTTTTTTCGATTCTAAATTTAAGAAAGCGCTTGACAGCCAAAAAATTTTTTTAATTTTACACTGTTTAAAATTTTTGTTCCAAATTTTATACAAAAATGTTTAGGGGAGGGAAGGCTACATTGAACCGGGTTTTTTATAAAGTCCAAGAATTAATTAAATTTTACTATTTTTGATCAGGTTTTTGTATCAAAATTAAACTGAAGTACTCCTTTAGTTAATACACACGTTACAAACATAAATTATTATGATTAAATAATTAAATTTAATTTTTTTCTAACAAGTTACACTTTTCTTATTTTTAAGGATCTGTGTCTACATTGAACCACCTCTAATAAAACACTACTTTTTACTTCAAAAATAATATTTCCACTTACACATTGTAAAAAATCTTATTTTTCAGTCAAAAAAATAGAAAATTGTTGTTAAAAAGTTATTATTTGTTAATATAGGAGATTAATATATTTTGATGTCAGGTTAGGTAGCAAAAGTGACAGTTTAAGTTTATCACGTTGACAATTGTGATGAAAGCATGTTTTCCAGTATTTTTCTTACTAATTAGTAGAGCAGACAACTTAAAATTGAACATTCTTTGCTTTTTCGGGTGGTTCAATGATGCCGCACTCACTGTATTCACATGACATTCACAACAAAAATTGTTTATAATAAATTTATGTAAGAGTTAAAATTCTTTATCACATCGGAATATTGAAGTTGACACCCAAAGCGAAATAAATCACAAGTTCACTAATTTTTAAAACTTCCTATTTCAAAAAAAAACTTGATTATATTTCCACCAAATTTTTTGTTTTGTACGTGAAAAACAGTTTTTTTTAGTTTTTCTTTATAAATAATAAATCTACGTGCACGAAATTTTTTGACATAGTTTGTTTCGGTAAAACTAACTTATATATTAAATAAGAAAAAATTTCACTCAGTCATTTCTCAGAAAATTGAAGTGGTTCACTGTTGACGCTATGGTTCAATGTAGCCTATACTCTTCCCTAAAGCAATTATCATACACACTTTTATAAAACTGCAACACACATTTTTTTTAATACAAATTTTCTTATTAGATTTTAAAACACATTTCTTTAAAATTTTTGAACTATTCTTTTGAAAATTAATACAAAGTGTTTGAATGAAATTTCAAAAATTTTTGTTTGAAATTTCAAACAGTTTTGTATGAAATTTCAAACAAAACTTTTTGAAATACCCAAATCATTTAAATATTTATATGAAAAATCAAAACTGTTAATATTGTGTTCTGATATGTTATAATGAATGTTAATTAACAAAAAAAGTTCTATTTGCATTTTTACGGAATTGTATACATAAAATGTATAAAAAATCCAATTATTCCAAATTTGAATATATCACTCGTTTTCAGAAAATAACTCACCTTTTTACCCTTTTTTAAAAGGTTCTGGAACCCATGATATTCGTACCTAAAAAATTCTTTCTTTGTAGTTACCATATATAAAATTTTGTTAGGAACATGAGAGCATAGGTGATTCTGGCTTGGGCGATACTAGGGGGACCTTGTTTCACCCAGGCTGCAATCACCTTTTTCGTGTCCTTAATACGAAAATAACTACTTTATTTCTTGTAAAAAAATTTCTTATTTCAATAGTTTTAGTTATATACCTACCATTGAAAATTTTTGATAAACAAAGATTTCGAAAATTTCTGACTCAATAATTGAGTCACTTTAATTAATATAAAAAAATTGGTAGATATCTCTTATTTTTGTATAAAAAATAAAAAAAAATATTTACCCGAATTTTAAAACTCAACTATTACATTCTCTATAAATGAGACAATCGCTGACGGCATTTTCTTGGCATGTTGAGTGGTGACAAGAAAATAAAATGAAATTTTTGTATAATACGTGTATATATATATATATATATGTATATTCTAGATTGGGAATTAAGGTTTAGCAAGACTGGTGCAATTCAATTGAAAATCTTCGAGTTGTAAACCATGTTCTGTTGGGGACCTGATCCTATTTTCCAGTAAATGCCATTCTGACTCCTTCGAAACCTTGTTGAATATCAGTCACCAGTCATCAAGTTGATTGACGAGTGATATCGTTAACGGTTTTGCCTGTAGGCGCGTGCGATCTAGTGCAATGATCTCGTTAGTGTCTTTTACCCCTCGTTCACAGTCTCAACTTGCTCTGTGGTGCGAAAACTCAAATTTATCCCTTTAATAAAAAACAGATCTTTTCTCGTCAAATCAGGATTTACATTCTCCATCATCATAATTATACGATGTTGGGAGCACAGCAATTGTCAAAGGGAATTATATTATCATCACTTTTGTCTAATTCTATATACAATTTAAAAAAAGAATTTTAAGTTTTCATTTAATAAAATTATACACAGGCCTACAAAATTCGATTTTATTTATTTTTGATATCGGAGTGGTTTCCAATATATTTTTGTTAGCTGAAATTAAAAACTGAATAATCCATGTTTGCATAAAGTTGACATTAAAAACTTACAAGAATAACTTGCTGTAATTTTAATATAAAACATTGTGCTATTAGGGATATATAATAAATAACTTTGCCTTTAATAAAATTAGATAGTCATGACTTCTTCCTCAAACGATATAACGTGATATCTGCTCTTTGAGACTATTGAAGAATAGTTATTCTTCCTTTTATTGGCATACAGAAAAGTCTTATTTCCAATCTTATAAAAATGGCAGGAATAATTTCCAGTTGAGAAGATTCGCCCATGAAAACAAACCCTAACGAAACTTATGGGCAATCAGTTAAGAGCTTACAAGACTCTTGGTCCTATACCATATATCAGCTTAAATTATTTATAAATATTGTAATATTTGTATAGAGAAATTTACAAAGTCAAGCATAATTAAATATTTAAAATTGATTTCTAAATAAGTATAATAGCATTTACTGCTTAAAACTGTTTCTAAAAAACAACTGTGCTTATAATGTAAAAACAGGGTGAATTAAAGGATAAATGAATGATTTTATTTTGGACTTTTGTGAAGTAAAGTATCTATTTGGACAGGGGTTATTTACTTCCTAGGCGTATTTCTCAGCCTTTGGTGATTTAATGGCATACGATCTTTTAAAGAACAAGAATCCAGATTCAGATCTGACGGACCATAAATATCAGGTGTTTTTTTCGAACCATGTAACTCCCGGCCGGGATTCAAGCTCTGAGACTCAATACGCATTCGTCTTTCAGTTCTACTCCCTCATCTAATTCGTTTCTCTCTTTTCCTTTTTTATATGTTCTCTTTCAATTCGGGGGATTTCTTAAATCCCTTTTCTCTTTCGAGATTTTTCCTTATTATTTTCTTTCAAGGTAACATGTAAAATTGTCTATCTCCTTTTTTTATTTTTAGTTATCTTTTATATAAATATTCTGAATAAAATGTTACTTTAAAAAAACAAATGCTTTCAATTGCAAATTTGACCAAAGCAAATAGCCCAAATAACACAACATTTGAGCTCAATATTGTGAGGTGACAATATTACTTAAACTAAATGTTTAGGTAAACTATGTCCGCCCTGTGGAACATTGCCTCGCAATATTGAAGCAAAATTGCCTGTCAATCTTAAAAAAATATTATAATTATTATAATATAATTTTATAACGGAAATTTTAACACGGAATTTTTCTATCTTGAAAAAATACTTGTTTGACACTGTCCATTGGAAAAATATGAAAGGATGTCCCGAACTCTGATAAACGAAGTCACCTCACGAGCGATGCAATCGTATCACGTGATTACCGGAAATCGATGCGGTTCCCTTTGGAAACAGTTTCACCCTAGAGCGAGGTGAAGTTACGTCTTGCGTATCAAATACCATTTCCTTCCAATCAGCGCGGAATCTTGAGCATCGCACTGGACAATTGAGCGTTCCCCTCAATCAGATATATAGTGACTCGCTTTATTTCAACAATTAACGGTAATCTAGTTCAAAGCCACTACTATTGTAACAGAAACTTCGATTAAGAATAAATTTCTTTCTGATTCAAATCACAACAAATAGGACCAAATGCAGTAAAATTACTAAAAATACATAAGTATAAACATGATAGAAATTATACATAAATTAATTTTAAATGTGTTTTATTTCTTTTCCATCTGCAAATAACTTATTTCCCCGCAATCATTACTTCACGGAATTTTCATTTTATTAATATTATATATTGAATATACAAACGTTATCAACCCTGTCGAAAGTTTCACTGAAAAAAATAATATTTTAAACTTTTATTCCCTTTATTTTCAAAAAACTAATAAAATTCGGAAAAAAGTGACACCTTAGCGACAAAAAAATGTTAATTTTTCAATCTGCCAATGCCAGATATTTAACAAAAACCCTATTTTTCAACAATTCGTCTAATTTCTTTATATCTTCCAAAAAATTAACATTTTTTAACGTTCATAGGCGCATTTTAATAGTACTTTTTTAGAATTGAGATTTTTTTACAAGAATTTATCTACATACATTCCTTTAGAAAATGCAAGTCAATAAATTTGAATAAAAAAAGTATACAAATTTTAAAGGTATAATTAATTTCTAAAAAATAGTTTTTAAAATTCAAATCACACTAAGTTTACAGGCTATTTTAAAAACAGGTTCGAAATACCCTAAAAAATCCTTAAGATTTCTCAGGACATCTCTGAGACATCCTACGGATATAATAGTTTCCGGATATGCGTAGGATATCCTGAATACCAAGATGCTGTTAGGGACTTTATGTGATTATAAATTTATGAAACTAGGTTTAAACTTTGTTAAGATTGTCGAAACATTGTCAATGCGCATGTGGAATATCAGGGCAAAAGAAGAAAAGTCTTAAATAGCATTCAATGTGTGTTCTTACACTGTCAGAACAGTGTTTTGAGTGTCAGATAAGCGTTTCAAAACTGTTGACTAACATACATTTTAATGTTCTTGAAACACACTTCTGACAAACTATAGACATACAATTAAGTATTTGTGGAACACTAAAACATTCTATAATACACGAATTGAACATATTTATAATTGTATTTGCATACAGACAATTAACAGTTAGCAAACATTAAATAAAACACTATTTAAACATGATTAACGCACAATATTTTCGACAGGGTAATTACATCAATAAAAATCAAATAACTCTGTTTTAGAATTTTCAAACGTAGAAGATATTTGCGAGAGCACACAACTTACGTAGTGTGCTACGTTGGAGAGTTAAGCGTTTAGTTCGTTGAGTTGATCTGATTAGAGAGTATTGATCTTCTTTGACGAGCGGACAGCTTGACTGACTGGGTCAGGGTGGCCTTCTTCACGGTCTCAGTATTTTCTGTCCACAATCGTCTGTGTCATTTTTATCTGCAAATCGAAAAAATTCTTCACCTATTGTTTGTATAAAAACAACCAAAATATTGTCATAAACACAATTTAATCCAAATTTTTTACATTTAGTGAATAATAATATAAATATTTCGATATGGCTTATATTAACTTTACAACTATAAATATATTTTAAAGATACACTACCGGTCAACTTTATAAGACCACTTGCAAAAGTACATTAAAAACAAGACATTCTTTAAATGTTGATAACTTCATAACTATAGTGAGCCTCTATAAAAAGCTGACTCTGCGGCGGCAAAATGTTTTTATATATAATTGGGAAAGATATTTTTTATCTAACTATATTACAAAAAGATATCGCCGCCGCCGCCGCCGCCGCTGTTTCAAGATTCTGTAAGGGCGCCCTATCCCAAAGGGGCCGTCAAAACTTATGTCAAAATTGACCAATTTTTTTACCTATAGGTCAAAAAGAGGATAACGGCCTCACATTACGTCAAAATCTATGTCTAATTTGACCTATTTTTTTACCTGTAGGTCAAAAAGAGGATAAATAACGGCCTCACATTACGTTAATATAGGTCAATTTTGAGGGCAGTTTTGACCTAGGCGTCAAAATTTGACAAAGAATTCAATTTTGAGGGCAGTTTTGACCTAGACGTCAAAATTTGACAAACAATTTCCGCTACCATCAAAATTTAGGTGAATTTTAAGGGCAGTTTTGACCTACGCATCAAAAATTGACAAAGAATTCCCGCTACCCTCAAAATTTAGGTCAATTTTGAGGGCAGTTTTGAGCTAGACGTGAAAGTTTGACAAACAATTTCCGCTACCCTCAAAATTTAGGTCAATTTTGAGGGCAGTTTTGACCTACACATCAAAATTTGACAAAGAATTCCCGCTACCCTCAAAATTTAGGTCAAGTTTGAGGGCAGCTTTGACATAGACGTCAAAATTTGTCAAACAATTTCTGCGCGCAGACTTAATGATGAGGTGAAGTTTGGCATCTGACCTAACAATGTAAGGTAATTTTTAAATTGTGTTTGCTCTTACACCTATAATTTTGACCTAATTTTGACGTTTTATTTTTACTCCCTCATTTAGTTACGTCATAATCTATGTGTAATTTGACTTTTATTTAACTACAACTTAAAAAGGGACAATAAAGGACAATAAACGTATCTATGATACGTCAAAATCTATTTGAAATTTAACGTCTTTTTAACCTATAGGTTAAAATGGGTCAAAATATATGACAAAGTTTAATCTAATTTTTGACATATAGATAAAAAAGGTCCATAACGATTGTTACATTACGTCAAAATCTATGTGTATTTTGTCATGTATTGTATGCAATTTATTAAGATGCATTGATATTAAGAAAAAATTACTTTAAATTTATAAAAATTAAAATAAATATAAAAATAGAGATAGGGGGTTGGTGCGCGAAGCGTGCAGGGGGGCGAAGCCCCCCTAGTTATATTACAAAAAGATATCGCCGCCGCCAATGCCGCTGATTCAAGATTTGTTAACCTACAGGTGAAGACTTGACAAGAAAACTCTCTCACATTATCTGCCCTCAAAATTTTGGTCAATTTTAAGGGCAGTTTTGATTTACAATCCAAGACTTGAGAAGAAAATACCCTCTGGCCTATTCAGTTTTCAAAATTTATATCAATTTTAAGGGCAGTTTTGACCTACAGGTCAAGGGTACGCACAAATCCTCTCTCTGACCTCTCGGCTCTTAAAATTGACCTAAGTTTTAAGAGTAAACCTCCAAGTTAAGATTTTGTCTGGAAACATCCTCATTTTGGGTAATTTGTTGACTGATTTACAAAAAAGATGCAAAAAGTATTAAAAAATCTACGAAAAGTTCTCGATTCTTATTGATTTGCAAAACTTGAATAATGCTGATATTTGGGAAAAAGCAAAACTTTTGAGGGAGGCGTTCGATAAAGACTTAAAGAGTTCACTGGCTGATGAACTGATTCATTTTAAAACATACCGATCAACAAAATTTAAAGCGGCTGACGCGAATTTAAATTTTGAAATGCTTAAAACAAAATGATCTTGATAAATTGTTTCCTAATGTTAATATTGCATTCAGAATGTTTCACTGCATACACTAAAAAAATGATAATGTCAATGTTGACATACAAGTATGGTTAGGATTTATAGCTGAAACAGCAATACTGTATTGCAGTTCTTAAAATACAGTATTGGTGTTCTCCACATACATATTACTGTCTCTCATATACATATTTCTTATTTGAAGGGCGTTAAAGATTATTCAAGATCGACCATTGAACAGACTATTGAATTCTTTGTCAATATTGACTATAGAAGCAGAAATTTTACGTTTAATAGATTGCCATGAAATAATTCAGACTTTTTCAGTTGAACAACACTGCGCAATCAGTGACTGAGCCCTAATTGAATTTTTTAAAACTGACCTCTGTTTCGTAATCAGCGACTTCGAAATCTTTTTATCAGAGTAAAGAGTTTCAAGTTATTCCGACGATTTTTTAAAAATTTGTCCGTTATATTGGATCCGTAATTTTAAATTTTCAAAAACTAAAATACGTTTTTCATCCGATTTTAGCCGCATTTCAAAAATTTTGGCACCCGCTGTTCCTGTAGATAATTTTTTGTTAATTAAGGGCATGTCCAAGTTGTAAAATGTAAACAAACCAAACACAAAAATCGCAATTTTGTAACAGCCATTTCTCCCACAAAAATTAATATTTTTTCACATTCTTTACAAAAATGAAAAATTAGAGTGTCAAAGTGTCCAATAAATCATTTTTTACTATAAGCAATAAAAAGCAATTAGTAAAATAACTAATTAAAATGACCTGTAAAAAAGCATTTTTGACGCGTCGCGAAAAATAAACTGTTTGAGTGTATCAACCGCACGGATGATGAAGAAGTCCCATGTCAGCGATTAGACCTTCAACATTTTGTTTTGAATTAAACTTAGTTATTTTCTCATTTTTTTTAGCTATGCTAGGTATAGTTACCAAATTCAATACTTTAGTTTACCATTTCCATAAAGAAAATGTTGAATTTATGTTTATTTATGCAAATGAGATGGTCGAAAAAGTGCTTCATTATAGACTGAATAGTGAAGCATTTTTTCGACCATCTCATTTGCATAAATAAATATAAATTCACATTTTCTTTATGGAAATAGTAAACTAAAGTATTGAATTTAGTAACTATACCTAGCATAGCTGAAAGCATGAGAAAACAACAAAGTTATAGTCGAAAACAAAATGTGCATTTTCGCATGGTGATATCATTGCGACCTTGGTACGGCCTGCGCACGCGCAGAGAGAAAAAAAGTTCACGTCGCGAAAAATTAAACTGTTTGACTATATCAACCGACGCGTCAAAAATGATATTTTACAGGACATCTTAATTAGTTATTTTACTCATTGCCTTTTATTGTTCATAGCCAAAAATGATTTTTTTGGACACTTTGAAATCTAATTCTCCATTTTTGTAAAGAATGAAAAAATAATAATTTTTGTGGGAGAAATGGCTGTTACACGGAGAAACTTTTAATACCACTAATTCTTAAAACTGGTGAGACATTTTAGTATGTTAGGTTAGATTCAAGGGAAAAACGACATAGGTTATAGAAATTGCTATTGAGACTATCAAAAACACTCATTCAGTATATATTTTACAGTTCTTCATAAGGAAACTAACGAAAATTAGTATGTTGTTTTAGAAAGAAAATAATAATTTTTGCAAAGTTGGGAAAGCCATGAATTAAAAAGAAACACAACAAATTAATTGTCTATAGATACTCATAGAGACGATAGTGATACTTGGATCTGATGGTAGATGGCATTAGTGTATGTCACTGTAACTGTAGGTAAATATATTTAACACGACGTAAGAACCTAACCTATATTAACGCACACACGCACACGCAAGTAAAGACACGACGATTGGTCACGGAAACCGAAAGATCGCACGATTCGTTAGAAGTACACAGCTGAATCGTCCTTATATATTAAACGAGTGGAAAAATATGTGCCTTCGAGAGAGAGCATTTTTTAAAATAACTTACTAATCAAATTATGTAAATAAGTAAAAGTCGTGAAAAAAATTATGTTATATTGAGGAACAGTTCTTGAATTTAATTTGGCATGAGGAGACATTCACGTTTATTAATAAAAGGTTTTTTTCTTTCATACACGTGTGAATTTCAACTTCGAAAACATTAGGGTTAGTTCACGACGTCAGGTGATGGACTCGGTGATGCTCGGGCGAAATCGGTTAAGTCCGCCCGCAGTCCTTCCAAAATTGGTATGTTACGTTAGAATGTCTGTTATATATTCTATCTATATGTGGAAAAAAGGTTAGAATTACCGTATTATTTCACAAACAAAAACTAGCATTTTATTCTTTTCTAAAGAAAAATAAGACTATTTCTAATGCAGATAGTAATTTTTGTACACCGAAGGTTGCTTAATATATAACGAACTTATCATATTTTCGTATTAATGTTGAAATTATTAGCACAACGCACGAAAAATCCTCACATTCTAACGTACTTTTAGAATAAAGATAACCAAATATATTCAATATTAGAACAAAAAGTTTCTCCGTGTACAAAAGTGCGATTTTAGTGCTTGGTTTGTTTACCTTTTGGTTTGTTTACATTTTACACCTTGGACATGCCCTTAACCGCCATTTTGAAAAGAACCAGTCGCTTTAGGTTTTTCTTGCTGTGGGTATATGATCGCGATATTTTTATCTTTTGAGAGAATCCCATTACTTTTGCGCAGTAAAAAAATTATGAAAAATAAATTTCTTTTTAAATCGAGTTTTTTAAAGTTGTTTATAACTTTTTTCATATTTGTTATAAACAAATTATAACCGCAGTATCTGAAATAATGATAAATTTTACGTTAGAAATGGTATATGAAAATTTTTTCTAATGTTATTTCTAAACAAAACAGAATTTTTTTGTTAAGTATAAAAATTAATTAAAATCTATGTGTATTTTAAATAAAAAATAAATTAATAAAAAAATCAACACGTTTGAAAATTTATTTTGTAAAATTATATATTTGCTTGTAACATACCATCCTTATTCCCAACAATTTAGTTAAATAACACAGTGCAACAGCATTTTTATTTCTGGGATCGCATGGGGTGATTTTAATAGGTTTTTTGATGCCGAATGCGAATCCGTAATCAGAATTGTTTCATCACCCTAGATTTTTGAGAAATTTGACCTTGGAAATTGAAAAAATGCCGTTTTTGGGGTACTTTTGGTTTTTTATCACGAAATAAAAATTTTTCCTAGGGTTTTCATTATATGGGTACGAAAGCCCATATCCTCCTTAACAATTTTCAATTTTGACATTTTAAAAATATCTATTTTTCGATGAGCTATCCTTGTTTGAAGTTCGCATCGTAACGTCAAATGGAATAACAGTGAGAAAAATATTAACATAATATTAATATTATTAATTTTAACCCATTTTTAAAAATTAGATATTTTTAAAATGTTCAAATTGGAGATTGTTGAGGAGGATGTGAGTTTTCGTAAGCATATCATGAAAACCCTAGAAAAAATTTTTGTACCCTGATAAAAAACCAAAAAGTATCCCAAAAAAGTCCTTTTTTCAATTGTTGCACTGTGTAATAGTCATTTCTTTTATTTAAGGCTATGTCTAAGTTGTGAAATGTAAACGAACCAAGCACTAAAATCGCACTTTTGTAACAGCCATTTCTCCCACAAAAATTAACATTTTTACACTTTCTTCACGAAAATGGAAAATTAGATTGTCAAAGTTTCGAATGAAATCATTTTTGACTATGAGCAATAAAAAGCAATTAGTAAAATAACTAATTAAAATGACCTGTAAAATAGCATTTTTGACGCGTCGCGAAAATAAAACTGTTTGAGTATATCAACCGCACTGACGATAAAGAAGTCCCATGTCAGCGATTGGACCTTCAACATGTGGAAGGGGAAATTTTTCCCTTTCCTCCTAGTAATTACAAGGGAAAGGGTAAAAACTTCTTCATCGTCCGTGCGGTTGATATAGTCAAACACTTTAATTTTTCGTGACCTGAGACTGTTGCTCTCTGCGCATGCGCAGACCGTACTAAGAATGCATTGATAAAGTTCCTTTATGTGGTCCAGAATGGCATGATAGGGCTTTAGATAAGTCCAGCCGACGAAACTTTTAAGGATCTCGTCATCCTCGGGAGTCCATTCGTCATCTGTTTCCAGAGGTTCTTTATAAAAGTTCAACTCTTCCACGAGAGTGCTGTATCTGTCGGAGAAGGAGGAAATAAGGAGCCGGAGTCGTTTGACTAGCTCATTTTGCTCGCCTAATTAGAGACGCTTATTTGCCTAATAAGAGATCCTCCATCTCTTTAACTGAGACCTCTAACATTCGAGACTGTGACCCATAATTTTCCTGCAGGTTCTCTAATACGTTGCCAAATCCAGCCATGGTCAATTTAGGACAAGATTTCGGATTGGTTGCCAATTGTCCTATGTTGAAGATCAAGTCTGAAATGATAACAATTAATCAGCGTGAAGGTATAGTTTAAGGTCTTGGATATGTGATTTGCATATTATTTTAAGGGATAGGTCGGACAGCTCGACTACAGTGGGGGAAAAAATTTATGTCATTTTATAGGGTCCTACAAATCGGGGATTTAACTTAGCTGCAATTTGTTTCTCTTTTGACGATAAGGTGCGGCCACGCATAAGCACAAGGTCATTTATTGTGAATTTCGCGGGTCTATGCCTTAAAGGAGCATTCAGACCTCTGCAGGCTGTCTGTCTGCGCAGCCAGAAGCAATAAGAGTAAGGGAGAAGGTGTAATAAATTTGAATTTCATTACTCTCTTACTCTTTTACGTTACCATGGCAACCTGCAGGCAGACAGACAGGCTGCAGAGGTCTGTACGCTCCATAAGTTGTAATATTTAGCTTGCCTTTGATGGGAGAATTCTACGTTCTTATTGACAAAATCTTTTAAAACTCGTAATTTTTTCATACGGTTTCCCCACAGGTCGGTAGGGGTAGACTCAATTTCTGTGGGGTCACTTTGGTTTCTTTTAAGGGAATTAGTGGGTAAGAGGTCTCTTCCGAGTTTCTAGAGATGAATGACGGACAGTATTATAGGCGAACGGAATTTTTCCTATGTGTGAATCCCAATCTATATAATCTTCATCAAGATAAGAAATAATCATAGTTTTAAGAACTCCATTCACACGTTTGACGGGGTTCGCCTGCGGGTGGTAAGGAGGGGTTGTTGTGTGATAGATATTGTATTCGTGGGAAAGGGAATGGATCGTATCATTAACAAATTCGGTTCCGTTATCAGTTAAAAAGACTTTAGGGGCTCCCCAACGATTAATAATTGAAGCGAAGAAGGATTTTTTGATTAATTTTCCGGTTGCCGAACGTAAGGGGATTATTTCTACCCATTTGGTAAAAGCATCTTGGAACACTAAAATGTACTGGAATCGGGATTTACTGGTCGGAAAAGGACCCATAATATCAGCACAAACAACAGTCCATGGTTCTTTAACAACTCGTTGACCAAGGAGTCTGGCAGAAAGTTGTTGTTCGACCTTACCCCTTTGGCAAGTTTCACAATATTTAATAAAGCGAGCTATATATTGGTAAGATCCAGGCCAATAATGATCTTTTGCTACGCGCATATACGTCTTTTCAATACCAAGATGGCCGAATTGTGGGTCATCGTGAGACTCGCAAATTATCAGGGATCTGTCATTGTCAGGGGGTACTAATTTTCATTCATTCAAGTCAGGGAAAACAGCGGATATAATTGGATCTGGATAAAATCGATAAAGTTTACCTTGGGACACTCGCCAATTAGGAAACTTTTTTGTGAATTCGGTCACTGCTTTAATTTTCTGTAGGTACCAGGAAGTGGGATCAGGATTAATTAGGCAAAGGTTTTCATCAGGTGGATCAGATTCAGTGGGTAATGAGTCGCAGAACATTCGGGATAGGGCATCGGGTACATGGTGATTAGCGCCTTTTCTGTCTTAAATTTCAAAATCGTACTCTAAGAGGGAAAGTGATTATCTTGCTAATCTACCAGTTGGGTTCTTTAATTTGTGTAACCAGAGAAGACTACTATGATCTGTGATTACTTGGAAGTGATAACCTTCCAAATAAGCGCGGAATTTATCAATGGCCCAAATGACTGCAAGGCACTCCTCCTCAGTGCACGGAGAGAAAAATCAAGCGTTTGTAGTAAGACATGGTCTATACTTAAAAAGCACGGCGCTGTTTATACTCGATTTGTAGAAATCTATGCTAAGAGAGTAGGGACCTATACTCTTTTAGTAGAGACCTATACTCTTTTAGCATAGATTTCTACAAATCGAGTATAAACAGCGCGTGCTTTTTAAGTAGGGGAGAGTCTCCAGTTGTGAGACACCTCCAGTTGTGAGACAGTCAATTTTTTTTAACATGCAATATTAAAAAGCCGATTGGTTTATATAAAAACATTTCTTTTTATATGAGCCAACTTTTTCGTGTACGCCGAAGCGGATATATAAACTGTTTTTGTTAAATACCAACACTGTGTGTGATAATCGACTAAAAAGCGTTTTTTCAATACATGCAAAGTACTTTTTTTCCAAATTAATTAATTGGAAAAGGTAAATGTAATGCATTTTCTTTTAGTGTTTTCCTTATATTTTGTGATGCAATATTGCATTGTTCCAATATACGGTTGAAAATAATTTAATTTTCCTTTTTCAAAATAGCGCAAATTTCTGGGTGTGAGACACAGCATATCACCAGTTGTGAGACGGTGTCAACACCCATCTGGGCAGCATAAAAAATACGACTTTGCAGGCATACTATTTAAATGTTGTTTTGATTTTTTTTCCAGTATTTTTGGGCATGTCAAGTGGAAAAAAGTAAATTGATTCAGAAGAAATCAATTTTAATGCTCTTTTTCAAGCTATTAAATTGTGTTTATTTGATAGTCATATTTTGTCGAATAAATATTATTTAGTATATAATAATATATATTATTAATATATTTAATTATTTATACTAAACATAACTTTTTATGTCAAACTTATTAAATTTTAGCAATTTTTAATGAGTGTCTCACAACTGGAGACATTTTTTTTTTTTTTGAAAAAAGCGATGTGCTCGGAAAATGTATCGTAAAATTTTTTGAGTTCATCGAAACACTATACTTTCTTTTAATAAAAGTTGCGTATTTCTGTTACCTTTCGAACGGTGTATTTTAATTACAATTTCGTTTACCCGTTTACAATTTACGGGTCAAAAATGAAACCCGTCTCACAACTGGAGACTCTCCCCTATAGACCATGTCTTACTACAAACGCTTGATTTTTCTCTCCGTGTGGTACTGTAATTTTGTTCAGCCAGGGTAAGGGAGCGACTAGCATAAGCTATCACGTGTTCTACTTTCTTTATAGTTTGGGCCAGGACAGCTCCGAGGCCGGTATTACTTGCATCAGTCTGGAGCACAAAAGTAACTTCAAAATCGGGACAAGATAGGACGGGGGCTTTAGTGAGTAAAGATCTGATTTCGCATTTAGCCTGATTGATTTTGAGGCCAGCTTTCTTTAGATTGTCTAAGACTCTTTTTAGCCAGACGAGGTGATCTTTAAATCAGATAGTAGGTATATTTCCTACTATCTGGGTGAAGGGGAATCTGGAGGAAGCCTTTTTCGAGATCTACTTTTGAAATGTAGCGGGCCTATCTTAATTTGGCCAAAATAGCGTTTATTTGGGAAAGAAGGTACGCATCCTTTACTGTAACCTTATTGACCTTACGTAGATCGAGACAAAAACAGTAAGTCGAGTCAGGTTTTTTCGCCATAACTACAGAATTTCTCCAACCACTATTGGAAGGTTCAACTACTTCATCTCTAATCACTATATCCAGGTTAGAGTACATATGCTCCATTATCTTAGGAGAAACGAGATAGCAACGTTGTCTTACTTCAGGGTGGCCATTTACGTCAATCACAGTGGGCCAGGATCGTCGATTTTTGGCCAAAAATCATTATTTAAAAGAGAACAAGATATTTACGAATAACAAGTATGCTACTTACAGTTTTTGAGGTCGCTGATTACGAATCTGAAGTCAGATTTCAAAAATTCAAAATGGCGGATCCAATATGGTGGACATAAATTTTTTTATATGAATCAATTTTAATGAAGCATAAATATCTAAAGGTTTTTTGGGTCGCTGATTACGAATCTGAAGTCAGATTTCAAAGATTCAAAATGGCGAATCCAATATGGCGGACATAAAAATTTTAAAATTAATAAATTTGAATTAAACATAGGTATCTATGGGTTTTTTGGGTCGCTGATTACAAATCTGATGTCATATTTCAAAAATTCAAATTTAGGAATCCAAAATGGCGGACATACAATTTTTAAAATTAATCGATTTTTATGAATCTTTGTATCTAGGGGTTTTTTAGGTCGCTGATTACGAATATGATGTAAGAATTCAAGTGGATTTTAGATTGGGTGAGATTCGCCTACAATTTTTTGCTCGGGAGTTTTTAAGTTCGGTGATTACAAAACTAGTGTCTATACAATTCAAAAATAAAAATTTTTTTCCTGTTATTAGCCTACAAAAATAAAAAGTACTGTAGTTTCCAGGATATACCACGAGGAGGTTACAGGTAAAGATCCCATTTTGTATTTTTTTAGATTTTTAAAATTTTTTTGGTTTTTTTTAGACCTGATGTTTACTTATAGGTATATAGTTTATCGCGTGGGTATATTAGGTGCGCATGTAGTCCTATTGGAGAATCTGCTTTTGTTTCCATGGATCGGATAAACACTCCATTTCATATCTAAATCTGATTTCAGAAGCAAAGTGCTCATTTTTACATTTTTAAAATCTGACAACAGATTTGTAATCAGCAACCCGAAAAACCTCTACATACCTATATCTCATTGAAATTGATTAATTAAAAATTTTTTATGACCGTCATTTTGGCTACCTGCTTTGCAAGAGGCCATATAACCAACAAAAAAAAAATTTTGATTTCTTGAAATCTGACATCAGATTCGTAATCAGCGACCCAAAAAACCATAGAGTTATTAGCATAGAGTGCGCAAGCGACCAAAATGTTAGACAGCCATACCAAAAGTAGACCCCTTTTCTTTCTTTCTCTAATAACGCATGCGCGATAGTGAAACAGCTGATGCATCGAAACAATTGTTGCTTGCTTGCTGGCAATTATATTTTTCTTTTATTTACGTGACAAATAAATAATTTAAAAACATTTTTAGCAGGAAAAATGGTATTTTATGTTAAGTTTACCTGCTTTCAATTTATATTCATCGAAATAAGCAACTCAAAATTAAAAATTCCAATTACTATAATATTATCCATTCGACATCCAAACTAGAATCAAAAGTTGCGTCTTAACTTCAAATAACAGCCAAATAGCTTTTTTTCAACATGACTTTTTAATCCCACTCTACCCTATTTATTGTAAAATATTTATTTTACAT